TTTCAATTTATATTCATATTTACATTATTTTTAATTACAGCTTTTCACTAAAATTGCATTGTTTGGCAAATGATTTGTCGGCTCACCTGCAGGACCTTCACAGCCCACAGTTTGGGGACAAAGACCGTATATAAAGACAGATGTAGCCTCCGGGATGTCACCCACAGGTTTCTGAGAAGCAGTTTTAAAGCTCAGAGTGAGCTGCTCTGCTGTTGCCATCTTGGCGGCGCCTGACTTGGCACCCTAACTCCCTGCTAAATCCAAATGGACAAAGAGGTCGAGGCATGCAGGCATGTGTGGAGCCGAGACTTTGGTGTATACCGGTTTGTGGCAAGCATACGCTCACCCACCTGTCACTGAAAGCAGCCACGCCTTCTATGCATAACTTTAACTTTAATAAAATTTAAACAGGCAAAAAGTTCAACTTCCATAGAGTTGTACCAAAACCATTTTTTGTACGAGGCTGTAAATATGTTTCTGCTGTAAAGTTGAGCATTTTAACATGAGAGTCTATGGGGATTGACTCGGTTTTAGAGCCAGCCTCAAGTGGCCATTCAAAGAACTGCAGTTTTTGGTACTTCCATGTTGGCTTAATTTTTCAGCTTCTGACTTTGCCACTTGGTTGGAAACTGGTATAAACTATACATGCAGTATTTCACCTTTAAATATATGCAAAACTCATCTCTGTCCTCATCTTAAAATATGAACTGATTAAGTGAAAAGGGGCAAAAACATCCTCACTTTAAAAGGTCAAACTGCCTCCAACAGGGACGTCGTGCACACACAGCTGCAGTCGAGCTCAGTGTAATGTTTGTGAACTTGCACTCACTCACACTCACACACACACACACACACACGCATGCACAGGAGGGTGATTAAACTTGACTAAGAGTGATGTCTTTAATCTCCTAAATGGAAATCCAGACTATGCCCTTATTCCAGCCTCAGAGCTCTGACCAGAGAGGCTGGGTACGGCTGCACCCTTTGGGTTGAGCAAATCTTTGATTTTCACAAGGGCCAAGCTTAATAACACTTTTGCTGCCAATTATGCTGCCAGGCCTCTGCAGGCTTGAAATATATTGCTCCCTATGAGCCGGGGGAATTACCTGTTTAGTAAAAGGCCTGAGCAAAAGCCGGAGTAATGCCACGGCCATATTGCTCAGATTGAGCCTGAGCTAGCTTAACCTTTCATGAATGTTACAGTGGCTGGGAGCTGACGCCTGAATCTTTAGCCTAATGCATGCAGGTGTAAGAGCATCAAACCGAGCTGTTAATGAAAACATAGCGACACGCCCCCTCCTCCTCCTCTCGCCATTAACAGGAGCTCCAAGTCTCATTGTCTCCTCTCTCCTCCTCCCTCTCCTCCCGCTAATCTCTTCTCTCCATTCCCCTCTTGTGTAACCGAAGAGCTTCTCCTCTTCTCCGCTGCCTCTGCTTCTTAATACTCAACTCCAGCACATTTTATTCTCATTGTCTCATATTCCTGTCATTGTAATTGCATTTGTCATACATTCTATAATTCTCCACCTTTTTTTAATGAGGCACAGATCTCACACTGTTTGTTACCAGTGCAGGTTTTATTACAATGGCTGCTGCTGCAGGTACTTTGGCCTTCACTCTGTGACAGAGCACTCACTTTGCTTTTTATTTTTTTACTTTTTTTTTTACCAAATCTTCACTTAAACACTTCTATTCAATAAATCTAGACATTGCCATTGTCAGGTGAATGTGTTTACTGTCATTCCTATCTGCACTACATTACTGTTACTGGCTTTGATAACTATAAAATGGCCCTGTTTCCCATCACATGTAATCTATCTTGATCTTTCCCCCGTCCTGTCCACTCAGCACACCTTAATGTTCATCCAAGGTTTCTTTTCCTGTCCCTGTACTCCTGCCTTTTTCTATCAACCTCTAAGGTACATCCTCTTCTTTCATTCATTTCAGAAGAACCATTTAACAAATCCAGACTTATGGTAATTTCAGTACGGCGAACCTTCAGCGCTCCACTGACGTAATTTGTGTAAAAAAATCACGCTCCTTCATCCGCACCTCAGTCAAATTTAAATGTGTGCTCCATCTTTCAACATAGAGTTTTCAGGTTACTCAAAAGTTGGATTTCATATTTATTCATTTGACAGATTTATTTTTGACAGAAAATGTCCCTAAAATATCACTGTCTCCACACGCAGCTGCTAAAATGGTTAAAAAATATATTCATATTTTTTCACGTCTATATCATATTCAGATTCAACTTAGACAGAGACAACTATAGTGGAAGGTGTCAGATTTTTGTAATGTTGCTGGTATGATGTCAATATGACTATCAACATGTCTTTTCTCCATCTATTTCTGCTTGGAGCCACGCAGTCAGTGTGTCTGCTCTTACCCGTTAACATGGGCGCCAAAATAAAAACATTCTGCAGCCGCCACACAGTCAGTGTGTTCCCTGTCTAATGTCCATAAATCAGCTCAGAAATCATACAAAAAAAAACGACATAGCTCTCACCGTAACTGCAGATTCTTGCTTGAAAATCACCTGTTTTCTACAGCTTCAATATCAAAAGTAATTCAGCTGTTGTCTGTGTGCGTACATGATTACAGAGCAAATGGGAAATGACAATAGTTAATTGAGTGTGACGCTTCATGGAGCAAATCTGTCAAAATATTAACAAATGTAGGCTAAAAAAAGAAAAAAGAAAAGCTGAACCTGTAGCCAACAGCTAACTCACTGACTCACTGGCAACATTATATGATTTAAGCAAAAAAAAAAGAAAGAAAAGAAGCTTTATTCATTGGCCTATCAACGTGGTTCTTACATCCCTTTAACACTGACACTTTCCTCTATCCATTCATATATAGACATTTGTCCTGTGTTTAAAACCTGAAGTTTTGTTTCATAAAAACTCTCTGAGAACACGTATAGGAGGACAAACGAACTGCTGGCATTTCTGAGGAGCCAACATCACTCTGAAAATATCAATAAATTGCATCTTGGTTAAGACATGTGGTGACTGTTAAAAGCGTCTTTCTCCTCCTGCTTTAACCTTGCTGTCCTTTCTCCCTCGTCCTCAATCCAATCTACGCTTTTTTTCTCCTCTTCCTCTCTCGCCTCTCTGTTCTCCAACCCAAATTCCTCCCTCCATCCTTCCTTCCACTGCTCCACCACAGTGATCCTGAGGTTAATTAGCCCTCCAAGTGTCAGACTGTTAGATCCCCTCTGCCTACCTGCTAGCTGCCCTATGATTGCCTCAGTAGGGGTACTAACAAGCCAGTGCGCCATACATTGGTGCGGGCATAAAGTAAGGAAAGAAAAGAGACGGCGGGGGGGGGGGAGCAAGGAGAACCCACACATGGACAGAATATTGTTCTCCGGGGAAATTTAGGGGAGATGGAGCAGATGATGAATAGATGGACAGATATAAAAACTGTGATTGTTAAATGTCATGAAAAAGAGGAGATTGAGGACAATAAACTGGTACAAAGAGGTTATAAAATAAAACAGAGGGCAAGAGCCACAGTGAAGACAAAACTAGATAATAAAAAAGTAAAGCAGGATGAAGACGGGGGGGTTGTAAGAAGAATAAAAAAATAACAGAAGAGAAAAAGAGGGCAGACAGACACCAGTGACGGGTGAAAAAGAGGAGAAGGAGGCTGTTAATAGGAGGGGGGGTTGGAAAAAGAAATAAATGAGCAGAGCAGCAGAGGTGATGGACAAGAGAGACGGAGAGGAGGAGGAGGTTGTTAACGGAAGAGGAGAGAGAGACGGGAATGAAAATTGACAGAAACAGACAGAAGAACATGAGTTACGAACGTCAACAGACACTCAGCAGGGAATCAAGATAAGAAATTAAGTGTTATTATTATTGTTATTAATTTAAATATTAATTTACAACACTTCTATTAAATACAACCCTCTTGACTATATTAAACATGAGCAGGTTTTTCTAAAAGACAACACTGAAAATATGGATCTATTCTCTGGCACACAAGTGTGTAACCTTATGAGAAAAATGGGAGAAAGAAAAACCAAGAAAGTTGGTTCATTTTTTAAAAGAATCCAAATCAAAACAACAGTTCTGACCGGTCCAACATGTGCAGGAAAAAAGATGCAAATACAAATGTGAATTAGTTGCAGCTTCTTTTTGTTTTTTACTTTGGTTTTGATACGATCTGACAGAGCCAGTGCAGCACATTAGTGACAATGTGGTGCTAATGCAGCCAGGGTCAGAGGTTTGAATCCCATATGAGCAACACCTGCATGGTATCAATGTTTCTAATGAAGTGGTTCTCAAACGTTTCCACATTAAGGAACACTAAACTGACACAAATTAGACCATGCTTTTAGATGTTTTATTACAGAGAGTGTTTGAAACCTGTGACCAGACTAGTCGCATGCTTTGTCATTGTGTTACTAATGGATGAAATTATAGTGAAAATAAATTCTTCCCCTTTTTGCTGGGAACCTCAGAAACACCCTCTAGCGCCCCTGGGGGTCTCCGGACCCAGTAGTGCTGGGTGGCATCTTGAAAACCATGTCAAGAATTAATTTAAATTGTTTTAATTCCTCTTACATTATTGTTTTACTCTAAGTGAACAGAGCTCATTAATCAGCCAGGGCCCCATCACAGAGGTTACACTATCAACATTTGGCTACTGATCAATAAATCAGATAAATATTATGATTTTTAATTCCTAACGTGTTTCGTCTAAAAGCCTCTGGACATCTAACCATCCCTCGCTCTGTGGTCGCTCATCTGAGCCAAGCCTCTTCTCTGATTGTTGGAATGAGCTCCTAAATGAAACCAGGACAGCAGAGTCACTGTCCATCTTGCTTTCTATTCTTTCGTTGAAAGTGACAGTCTCTGTCCTCTTCCACATTCTAATGTAGTGCGGGAACAGAATCAGCAGCACCGAACATCACATCTAAAGATTTCCCGATTGTTCAGCTTCCGTTTCGTCCATTCTTATGTTTTATAAAAAGGAAAGTATGTACACACCACACCGAAGTCCAGATTCTGTTCAATCCACTCCTGACCGTCCTTGAACTCCTCGTGGAGGCCCATGATGTACAGCGTGTCTAAAGCATCCACGATGGTCGCCCCTAGTTGGGAATTACCTGCACAAGAGACATGGTAAAACAAAAAGGAAAATTAGATTAATTTGTCCAGTCACGCACAAGCCAATTTGTTTCAGAAGAAAAACCCCCGCACCTCTGGGAATTATGAGTGGAAACCTAATCACAAAACACAATGGGCCTAATTTGTGAAGGAGAAACTAACACATCTGTTGAGGTGAAAAAATGAGGAATTACTCATACAAATTTTAATATACAATTCAAATATATACAATTAAATGTTTGTCTGCATGTCCATCAGAAACAGAGGAGGAAACACAAGTCCACATAGAGAGAGCTGTAGGCTTTACACAGCACATAGATGTCGTGAGGAGACAATCGGTGCGTGACAGTCGGGTTCACCTGAGAATATGAGAACCCAAAGTCATAACAACATGACATGAATCATAACATCTCCCAAGCAAAGAAAGTGTGTGCAGTGTTAACCCCCGACCAGCATGAGGCGCTGTGACATGAAGTGACTGGATGAACAACGAGTGCACACGATGAACTGTGTCTGTTCAGCCCTTTCTGTACTGACATCTGTGTGTTTCGTCCATCTTAAGAACTCATTCTCTTCTCAGCTCTGACTCGTCCACTCTCTCAAACACAATATCTGTTTATTCCCTCTCCCTCTGGTGTGTCGGGACGATGAATTAAGTCACAGCCGATGAGAAAATCACCTCTCTCCTCCTTCTAGAGCTGGTGAACGAGTGTGAGTCTGTGGTGACACTCAGAGAAGAGACATATGGTGGGCTTCTTTACGTTTCTCTGCTCTTTTGTATGCCCAACAGTTATACTGCTAATTATAACTTATTTATTCGATGACCTCTCTCTTGTCCTATTTTTGTTTTATTTTTTAACATTTATTTATCAATATTCCCATCCTCTACGGAAGCTCAGAGGAGCAAACGTTCAGGAGAATATCGACTTTTCCATGAAAAACCGAATTAGAAAAAAATCAATACGCAGCATCTGAACTGATCTTTTCTTTGTGTGAACTTCATCTGAAAGCTCAGGATGCAGCCATGCGACTGCAAGCTACAGTAAAACTGAAGCATGCTCAGTCATCTCTTATGGATCAAGGTTAAAATGAATATTTTGTCAGCCGTTATACGATATATAACCTCCGTCAGCCTGCATCTGTGACGAGCAGGATTTCCAAGTTAATTACAGAAGTCTGCAACTGACACAATTAGATTAATACCTCGCAACAGAGATGGGACAGTAAGCTAATTAGTGCAGTGTAAAATAGCATCATAAAATGATAATATGCCTCAGTCACTTCAACGTCACGGTTTGAAGATCAGGACATTAGGGCTAATATGCATTATGATTCTGGTCACGAGTGTAAAACAGTTTTCTGACAACAGGGGAGAGGACTCCAAATTAAAGTACAAGCCAGTTTTTAAAGCCAGAAATCTCAACTACCCCAGAACCCCCTGGAAAAGTGTGATTATTTTGTGCACCGCGGAAATAAAATGTAACTTTTTGCCCCTTTAATTAAGCCGCAACTCCTCAAGTTGCTGTTGCTTCTACTCCGTGTTGTATTTTCCCTGTTTATCTTTGTAATACTAGCACAGCTGAGGTCAGCAACTCCCTACCTCCAGCTTTGGGGCCGCTATCTCCTAATAATGCACAGCCATTTAATGTTGTGCTAATTTAAATACTTACAGACTTTGAGAAGTATCGTCACAAACACATCCCCATGGGGCGGGGGATTCAAATGTAATTAACTGGTCAGTCGATCTTTGTGCTTCAGCCTGGACACTTAAAAATCAATATCGTCATGTGTTTGCTTTTAGATGTGATGATGCCCAGCAGAAGTGAAAACTGCTGCCAGTAGACCCCGGGTTAATATTGTTATTATAAGGATATTTATTATTATTGATTAGATTTTCCTAATTGTACTCTGACTACAGGTGACGATTTGCTACTGCTGAGAACACTTAGAGCAGATCTTGGGCATCATTTCATCAATCATACATATCAGATATCTATCATGAATGAATGTTGTTGGATCGATATTTCCTTTTTTATCAAAAGAATAATCTTATGTGAACATACTGGCACTAGAACAAACCAACTACATATCTACAAGTGTCAAGGAGTCACAGCAGATTCAAGGAAACCTCCTCATTAATATGTAAAACAATGCAGCAAGGTGTTGCGGGATCTCATCAGATCATCTCGGCCCCCGTCTATTTCTGCTCGCTGCGTTTGGCTCGGTTTGATGCACGTAAATTAACAACATATTTCAGTGGTAAAAGTCAGTGTCACTGCCCTTTAAATTCTTCCTCATTTCATATCAGCTGCAAGCGTGTGCTGCTGGAATTCCTGAGCCTCCCCACCATCCCCTCTTATCTGAGACTCCATTCAAAGGGAGAGCGTCTGGCTTTATGCAGGAGCTGCAGCGTTATTATCATTATAGACAGGAACCGCTAAATCACTCTAAAAATACACTGCAGTCAGGCAGGCACGGCTGATAGCAAGATGCCCTGGCCGCCTGCCGGATCTTGACAGATTGGCCCGACTGTTGGTGGAGCAGAGCCCCTCTGCTGCACCACACAACCCCTATCTCCCTCCCTTCTGTCACTTTCATCACCTCCAGGTCCGCTTCAGGCAGTCAGAGCAACGTGAGGCCCGTCAAAGTTCTCGAGTCAGAGAATATTCCTTTCATGTCGACGTTTTGCTTCCTCTACGCTACACAACAACGATGCACCGCGGCGAGCAACCGCCATCTCTGCTACGAATACGACGGAGAAAAAAAAAAACAAAAGAACGTGATATTGACGTTACAAAATCGAGCCATGTTTTTCGAGCCAGGTGTCGTCCGAGCTGTTTCAGGAATCCTCCACATCATTTCATCTCACTACATTAGTGAATTCCTGGCAGCGGGCAGCCTCTTATAGTAACCTATAGTGACGTGCTGTTGTTAGTCGAGGTTGAAACAGTTGAAACATCCTTTTACTTTGACATGTTAGAAAACAAAGTTAACAATCCTACAGAAAAATGTTCATCAGACACTGTTTTTTTTACGATTGAACAGATATAAGACATAAAATCATGTTTGGGATAATGTTAGATGTTTTAAATATACAGATTGATCAGAAAGATGAGCGAGACTTAAAATAAAATCTCACTGAATAGTCGTGAAACAAAGGTCGATGTTTTGTCACAACAGAACCGCGACAACTGATTGGACGCCAGGTTTGCTAACTCCTGACTCCAATTAGCTTTTGCTGAAGTCAATACATAACAATCAATTTGGAAAGGATCAATACAATGATGAATGATGAAATACATTGGATTTGTTCATAACCAAGGTTTCCGCCAGTGTTTTCCAAGCCTTGCAGCCAACCTGACCTAAGTTGCCCCCCCCCCCCCCCCAGCCTTGGGTCAATGAAGCACACCGGGCGAGCACCCGGTCCTCTGCATCATCAGAGCCGTGGAAACCCAGACGGATGAAGATATGACCGTATTTTAAAGCTTATTTATACATAGATGTGGGTCATACTAAAAGCTTTACTTACGCTTTTCTTGCCACTGAATCTCTAACAACTTATCCACTGACTGATTATCATTTACATCTTAAATTTATCACACGACCCAATTTGTCATTTCAGCCGAAATTTTAAAACAAAAGCAGATTTAAATTTGCAGCTAACTTGTGTTTCTCCGACTGCGGAGTGCGTTTCGTCAACCTTGAGACGTTCAGCTCACTTTGATGTTTGCTCATAACCTTGCGATCGCATCTTAAAGCCCCCCCCCATCTCCTTTCTGCTCCATCACACCCTCCATCTTTTCATCTGCCCCTCCTTCTTCTTACTAACCATCTGTTTGTTCTCATTCATCACTGTCTTGCTTGTGTTTTTTCTAATCTTTCTTTGATCGCTCCATTCAAACCCCAATGCAAGGATACCGCTTTAACCTTCTGTAGCCAATTCATTTTCGCCGAGCGTCCTCCTCTCGCTAAATCTCCCTTTTCTCCCTGTTAATCTGGCTCGACCCAGCCTTTACCTGCAGTCTGTATTCATATTTCCGCTCGTATTGTTTCACTGTCATTCTTGTCAGCACACGCTGTCTGTCGCTGTCGGTTTCCACCATCCTCCCTACATCTGAGTGCTGTACAGCCTTTCATACAATGCCAACTGCAAGCTGAATTGGCACTTCCAGGAGGTGGGTTTAGGGTTGCCAGGCACTGCTTATCTGAGACAAATTGGCCAGGATGAGGTTTATTTATTTGGGGAATTATCGCCACAGCCTCATGCGCGCACACACACACGCACACACACACACACACACAAGCCTGGGCTGAAAAAGTCTGCCACTCTCTCTTACATGTACGATCCTTTTTCCTTTGACTGAATTCACACCACACACCTTCACTCTGCCTCAACTGAACTCCCTCAAACTCTTCAACTTCCCCTCTCCATCTATCACAATCTCACACCCCTCTCTCTCTCTCTCTCTCTTTCTCTCTCTCTTCTTCCTCCATTATCTCTCTCTCCCTCTCTCGGCCCCTGTGCCAGTTTCATTAGACGACAGGTTTCAGAGCTCTCCCGGTACGAATTCACACGAGGCAGGAAAACGTGATGAGGAAAACGTGATGACATTATTCAGTCTCCATTCTCTCTGTCTCGTAAACTGTCAGCTGTGGGAGAGTGGGTTATGATGGAGAGCTCAGGTGTGTGTGTGTGTGTGTGTGTGTGTGTGTGTGTGTGTGTTTAGTGTGCATATGTTGCATGAATTCATTTGGTTTTAGTGTTTGTAGAAAGTGAGAGTGGAAGAAAAGTGTAGGGATGGTGTTGAGCGGCTGGAAGTGAAGTTTTGACTTGATCTGGGCTGAGCTCCGGTGTTGCCACATTTCCAGGACTCCCTCTCTTATTCTCTTATATTTGCTGACTGGCAGCTTCTCTGACTTTGCTTCTTGTTTTTTTTTTACCCTCTTCCTCCATCCCACCTAGTCTCTAGCACTGTGCTCCTTCTGATGCCCTCAACAC